AAGACCTGTAAAAATTCCAAAGAACAAAAACAGGCCTCTGATTCTTTCCAGCAGAAGCGCCCCAGAATCATGTTGTTCCTCCCATTCTCTTCATTTCTGTGGGGCTCTGCCTTTACCCTATCCCAATAATGTGTCAGAACTCTTACCCTCTCCCTGCCAGCCCCCAGCACCAAGTCTGGGTTGGTTGAGGACATGGGGGAGAGTGGAGTGGTAGGGAAGGAAAGGGTTAGGGATAAGACAGGAAATCAGATAGGGAAGTGAAGTGAGTGGAGAGAAAATGAAAATCTGAATACAGGCTGCACAAGCTCTTATTTTAATAGTGGCTTCCACAGTACTGGCTCATGTTACAGAAGAGGCAAGCATTTTTGTGATGATGTTTGCTTTGATTAAAAACTTACTGGAATATTTAAGGCAAAAGCAGAAGCCCAGAAAAGTTCTAAAATTCTTAAATTGAGAGAGCCTTTCCAATGTTAATGGCCTTAGATCAGATTTATGTTTTGAAATGTCACAATAAATGCAACATCTCCAAGCTGTTGGCAAGCTTCCCACAGTGATTCTGCAATGACTTAGACTTGTGTGGGACTGATTTGGTTTCTGAGAAATTCAGCTTTTTTGTGCCTTCCTTATTTACTTTTCTACTTAAATGGCTTATGAAGATGTAATGAATAGAAAATAAACTTTTTTTTTTGAGAGGGCATCTCTCATATTTATTGATCAAATGGTTGTTAACAACAATAAAATTCAGTATAGGGGGGTCAATGCTCAATGTACAATCATTAATCCATCTCAAGTCTAATTCTCGTCAGTCTCCAATCTTCTGAAGCATAATGAACAAGTTCTTACATGGTGAACGAATTCTTACATAGTGAATAAATTCTTACATGGTGAACAGTACAAGGGCATTCATCACAGAAACTTTCGGTTTTGATCACGCATTATGACCTATAAACAATCAGGTCAAATATGAATATTCGTTTGATTTTTGTACTTGATTTATATGTTGATCCCACATTTCTCCCTTTATTATTATTATTATTTTTAAGGAAATAAACTTTTTAAAATACATTCCTGGAAACTTTGCTCAGAAACATGATACATAAAGCCTGCTTCTCTGGAGTAATCCCAACCAGATCAGAAAGCAAGAAAGAATCCATTAAGCAAGTAGTTGCTGCCTTGCAGGAAAGATCAAAAAGGAGAAGAATGTTTAAGTATGGTGAACTGAATTTCAGAGACCTGAGTAAACCAACTAGGAGACAAACAGAATTTTAAAACACCTTTGTGGAAATATCCACAGTGGCTTAGAAGAAAAGTCTGTAGGTGGAGTTCATTTCTCTAGGAGGCAGTGAGGTGCAATAGAAAGCATGAGATTGAAAGGAGAGCAGGTGTGCCCATCAGCCAGCTCTGTGGACTTTATGCCTCATTTGACCCCCTGCCTCTTAGTTTCCTCATCTGGAGAAGAGGGTCTTGAAGACAGCTTCCGGTTTTTCTACTGATGCTCCAGGCCTATGACTGGTTTGGAAAACGCAGAATGTATAGGCTCCTTTCAAAATGGAGCTAAAAGCCGCCCAGGCCAGCGCAGTGAGGGCTGGCCAGTCACGGACAAAGCTCAGAACCAGTGGACTAATATCATCGTTGGTGCTGGAACCATCACACTGACCTTTTGTGACTGTGGATAATCCAGTTGTACAATCATTTATTTGCAACGTGCTTACTATGGGCCAAGCTTCAAATCTGCTTTTCCTGTGGTTTTCTCTTCTGCACAATAGTGAATATACTCACTTGGGCCTGAGGCAAAATGAGAAATTTGCCTTAGTTTGCCTGAGAGCTTGACTCCAAGTGGTCTATGTCTGCCCGTGTTGTGCTCAAACCGTGATTGTCTTCTCCATGTCAGTACCTTGCTTGCTTTGATCATGAATCTAAACGGTGCTCTCAACACTGTGTGGCAATCCAGTTTCATTAGTAATTTGATTCTTCCTCTACTCTTCTCAAACTTCTCCCAAGCTCTTGTTCAACTTGCCCTGTGGTCACTGGAAAAACAGAACCTTCAGTCAGGAATTTCCTCATCTTCCCAACAGGGAGTCTACAAACTGACTTCTTCATATCCCTGGAGGAAGTGTCCCTCTTCCTACTTTTAAGTTAGTTAAGCAAGGGGACCATTAGGTTAATGCAACTTTAATGTGCTGATGGTCTTTGTAAGCAAACTAAAACCTAAGCTGTAAATGCCTCAAGGTTATGAAATCACAAAGCTAAGGACCACCAATCACACACAGTCAATCAATAATTTCCTTACTTTGCTTCCACGTTTTCTCTATAAGTCTCTCCCCAAGCCCTGTCCTAACCACTTCTGGTTTGGCACTGCCTGATTCAAATCCATTTTTGCTCAAATAAACTCTTAAAAATTTTAAGATGCCTCAGTTTATCTTTTAACAATACAAAGGCCAATACCTCTATGTGTGTTAGAGTTCACCCCCTCTTGCCTTCTCAAGGATTTTCCTTCTTTGATCTCCCCTTTATCCTGCTTCTTCAACCTCCCTCTTGTCCCAGTCTCCAGCATAGGAATCACAATCACTCTCTTCTCCCTTGAAAAATAAAAGAAACAAAATGCAAATACTCTCTTATGTCTTCTAACCTTCTTGATATTTGTGCCTACACGACCGCATTTGCTTCAACTCATTTACAGCCTGGCCTCGGCTCCTGGTATTCCATCACACCTGCTTTGCTGAGGTCACTTTTGTGGGTGGAATAGTAATTTCCCAAAAGATATGTCCAAATCCTAATCCCTAGAACCTGTGAGTATGAATTTATCTGGAAAAAGAAGTTATTAAATTAAGAATCTTCAGAGGAAATCATCCCAGATTTAGGGTTGGGCCCTACATGCAATGACAGATTCCTTATCAGAGAAAGGCAGGCAGTGGGAGATTTGAGACACAGGAGGAACACAGGGGAGCAGACCATGTGAAGATGGAGGCAGAGATGGGAGTGAGGCATCCAGAAGCCAAGGCAGGCCAAGGACTGCTAGCAGTCACCAGAAACCTGAAGGGCAAGGAAGGGATCTCCTCTGGAGCCTTCCAAGGCAGTGCAGCCCTGATCGATTTTGCACTTCTGGTCCTGAGAACTCTGAGAGTAAATTTACAGGCCTACCTCATTTTACTGCACTGAGCTTTACTGGCCCTAGCAGATACTGTGTTTTCACAAAGTGAAGATTTATGGCAACCCTGTATTCAGCAAGTCTATTGGTGCCATTTTTCCAAAAGCATTTGTTCACTTCATGTCTGTGTTATATGCTAGTAATTTTGCAATTATTTCAAACTTTTTCATTATTATTATTATATTTGTTAACAGTGATTTGTCACCAGGAATCACAATTTGCTGAAAGCTCAGATAATGGTTAGCATTTTTTAGCAATAAAGTGTTTTTAATTATGGTATGTACATTGTGTTTTTAGACACAACCTTGTTGTTCACTTAATAGACCAGTGTAAACATAACTCTTATATGCACTGGGAAACCGAAAAATGCATATGAATTGCTTTATTATGCTATTTGCTTTATTGCAGTGGTCTGGAAAGGAGCCTGCAGTATCTCTGAAGTCTGCCTGTATTTCATTTGAAGCCGAGTTGTGGTGATCTGTTATGGCAGCCCTAGGACACTAGTAGTTACCGAGGATCTCCATGCTGCAAAGCCCCAGAGGAGACCATCTTATTTTCCATTTTGCAGTGATATTTGACTCAGTTGACCATTCCTTCCTTGAAACATCTTACAGTCCTGGCTTGCAGCAAACTACTTTTCGTTGGGTTCTCTCTGCCCTTTGTGAATGCTCAGAGTTCTTTGCTAGCTTTCTGCTTCTACCTAACCTCTAAGCATCTGCTCTTTTCCTCTACACACTCTCAAGTAATCACATCCATACCTGTGGCTCTAAATATCATCATATACTAAAAATGCCCAAGTTGATGCCTGCAGCATAGACCCACTGTCGGTCATGTGTATACCTGCCTTCTTGCCATAGCAGCGTGTGCATCACAGTAATCCGTACACAAGCAAATGTACATGCACAAATCCAAACTTCTGCTCTGCATGAAACACCCCTTCTGCATGGCTCCAAAAAGCCCTTGTCTTCCTCTGGTTTTCCACAGCTGAAGAAATGTTATCTCCACCCACACGATTGCTCTACCAGAACCTTCGGATCTATTCTTCCCCTAACTCTCACCTCCAATTCCTAAACAAGTCTTGTCAACTTAATATGTCTTGAATCCATTCATTTCTTTATATCCACTGTCAACATCTTGGGACCACACAAACATTGTGTTTCACCTGGCCTCTTGCAATAGCTTCCAGTTGATTCTGTACACAGGAGCTGGAGTGATCCTTTTACAGATCAGCTCCGGTCATTCCCCTGCTTAAAGCCTTTCAAAGGATTCCCACTGAATGGAACACAAAATCCAAACTCTACGAGGCCCTTTGTGACCTATCCCTGCCTTCTGTCCATCTCTTTCCTCTTGGTCTGTCTCAGTGGATCTTCATTAGATGCCAAGAAAATTTACCAAGCTTTTCCTACCTCAGAACATCTCTGCCTGGCATTCTCTCCCCGCCACTGTGTGTCTTCAGCTCACTTCCTCAGAGGGAACTCCCAAATAGTACAACTTCATCCATTTTACTTTGGTTTCTCCTGTAATTTTCTCTTTCATAGAGATCAGTTCTTTCCACCATACCATTTGCCACAATCTGTAATTACACATTTGATTGTGTGTTTATTTACTGCCTCCCCCACTGGGTTGCTTCCAGAAAGGATCTGGAACTCTGTTCTCATCACTGAACACAGAGCACCTAGCTCAGGGGCAGCCACCGACAGGATGCTCCATAAATATTTGTTGAATAAATTCACTCTCTTCAATTTCTCAAATGTGCTCTAACAGGAAGTCTTGTCTGGTGAGAATGCTTTTGTTCAAAAGAAAAAAAGGAGCAAAAAAATTCAATTTTATGAAAACCCAAAGACTGTTTTACAAACATATAAATTATTTTATTTACAAAGCCATGTTACAAAAACAAAAAAAAGCAAAAAAAAAATTACAATCGCTCGCTGGAGAATGTCTCCAGGCCTGGTACTGAACCACGGCAGTATCAATAGATACATGTTTGTTCTTTCCTTTTTAAAACTGTAAGCCATAGAATTTACTATTTACACCTACTTTAGACATTTATTCTGCTCGCAATATCACAGGCATGGAATGAATTCTCTCTGATAGTGCTAATACATCAAGGTGCGGGACAAAGGAGGAAAATACTTAGTGTTACAAAATATGGATTGTAGAAAAGAAACCCACTCCACAAGTGTGGCATTTGTTTAGAATGTTTGGACATGCTTTTTTCAAAATTCTTCTGGAAAAGGTTCTAAAATTGGTAGTAGGAAAGGACAAATGAGCAGGTGCAAATTCTTGTCTGTGCAACAGTTATTTAATATACCCCATGACTGACCAGCTACATAAAACCCACAGAGTTTTGTTAAAGTGCCATGGGCTGACAGCATAACAAAATATAAGGTGTAAATAGAAAATTTCTTTTTTTCCTTTTTTAAAACAAGAGTTCACTGAGAATCAGCAATAATAGAATATGCTGTATAAACTATTCTCTACAAAGGTTGATCAGCATTATTTACAATTGGTACATTAATACAAAAGAAGGCATACACGTTATCCAAGTCGCTTTTTTTATGGCTGACAGGTCTATGCACTGCATTATGCTTAACAACCAGAGCTTTCAAGCCTCTATGGCTGGCGACAAGTCACGAGATCTTCAGGCAAATGGGGCTGTGTGCAGTCAAGGGGCTGAGTGGGGTGCAAAGAACGGAAGTACCCAATAGATATCACCCTAATAATGCTTTCTAGGCTGGTCCAGTTGAACTCTGTTAAAACAAACCCAAAGAAAACCTTTTATTTGCATTCCATTTTTCAAGCTGTGAGTTTTTAATTCATTGTTATAAAGTAAACCTGTGGTTGATTGTGAAGGAAGAAACACCGTGGGCTTTCCCTTTTTGCTCAGTTTTCCAGAAACATCCTCACCTTGGTCAGAGCCAGTCTTTCACCAAGTAAGCAGCATTCAGTTGGGGGAGCCTCTTTATTCCAGCTTGCAATTCAAGTTGTAGAGAGCTACATTTAAACTTATTGAATTGCTCCTTTAGTCTCTGTTGAGACATTATTTCTCAGAAGCAGCCACTTAATCTCTCAACCTTTGTTTTCCCTCTCTGAGTGTTAAGAGTTTATAAATCAGAGGATTATTTTGTTGCTGAGATTTTTGTTTTGTTTTTACTCCTGCAAGTTTTACAACTCAAAATAAATTATTAAAAAAACAAGACTTCTAAAACCGAACGAGACAAAAATTGTGCAAAAATAACAAAGATATGTACATACTTTTCAGTCTGAAGAAATGTACAATAAAAACATAATTCAAAGGACATTTAAAAAATATAAACATTGCTTAAACTTTCCTAAGTTTCATAATGTTCCTGAAACTATTCTGGTCAGTTAGCTCTGTAATATAGTAAAACATAAATTATTACAAAATTAACACTATAAAAATTTACTTTAAGAATATCTTCTAAACTTTTTTCAAAGGGTCTAACCTTGTTTATAATTTCTTAAACATTTATAAGTCTTAAAATCTGCTTAATCTTTTTTTTAAAAAAAGAAAAAGTAACAATCTCCCCTTCAATTTTCAGTCTTTTTCCCAAGATGTAAATAAACCAGCATTTAAGTGCACTTTTAACACTGTAGAAAGAAAAATGAAATCATCTGAACTAATGTCCTGGTACCTAAAATCAACTCCTGATTTTTAAAAAAATCTTCATTTTATATTAAAAATTTTAGTAATCTAAGAAACACTGTCAGTGCAATTCCATTGATACAAATCACTCCGTTTGCCTCCCGTTGTTGCAAAATCCAATCTGTCGTGAGACTCAACAGTAGTTTGATCTTTGGGTTGGGGGGGATGGGGAAGAAAAGGAAAACTTCAGGATAGGGATGAGGGTTTGCCTCCAGCTGCAAAACTGGAATTCCTTTCTGACTTGGGGATGAAGCCAAACCTCCGAGTATCTCTGCCATTAGATGGTATACAGTTACATGGTTAACAGCACAGAACACTTATTTTATATCGTGAATTCCTTTCCTGATTATGATTCCCTATGGGAGTTTATGGTATTGCTGTTTCTTTCAGAACTCCAGTGTGAGGTTTATAGCTGTAGGGCTCCAGCTTCTTTCTTCCGGGTGGCTCTTATTCACTACGTAGTAGCTTGGCCTTACTGCTCCTTCCTGGGGTGGTTGCATCTGAGCAGGGACCTCTGAAAACCTAGGTGATCTATGGACATGCGAATCCACAGGCCCTGTGTCCCAGGGCATGGAGGTAGGTGGGCGGTGTTCGTATTTATTCCCACCTGGCTTTGACACTTAACCCTCCATGGAAGCTTTTGCTCAGATCCTTCCTCCCTGCTGCTCCTTCTTCTCTGGCCTGGCCCTGGAGGGCAGGCTGAGAACTGCCCTCATCCTCAGTGGCTTCCTTGCCTCGCATGTCTTTTTCCTTGGGAATCCCCCCTCTCTGGCTTGCCCAGCTTTGGGTCCTCATACACAGCATCCTGGAAGGGTTTGCAGGATGAATACCTAAAACGTCAGATTACCGCAGTCACCCAGCTTGGTTACCATCTTTTAAAGACTATCTTCCCATCCCCATGTTCTGCTTCCTGCCACCTCCCAGACCTGTCCTAGCCCATCCCTGACCCAGTATAGCCTGGTGGATCTGCACAACTGGACAGTGGTATTGGGTAAACAACATCACTAAGTGGCCACTATTCTTCATTTTGTTCATAGCATCTGGCCCGCCATGTGGTGCATGTAGAAACCTGATGAGGGCACCTGGTCCCCCTCCAGCTCTGCTCTCAGCTCCTCAAACACAAGCTCTGCCAGCAAAGCCTCTAGCCCTGCATGCCATCCAGAGCGCAGTTTGTGAGAACCAGCTCCTTCTGATGGGGGAGAGGGCAGTGAGCAGCAGGTAGGAGGGGATGGAGGCAATGGGTTAGGGACAAGGAAGGGAGCACTGCACGGCTCAAGTTCAAGAGCGTCAGACGATGCCCACCAGGAAGGGACCTTCCCGTTCTCTGCTCTTGTGGCTGGAGCACATGAAGGTGCAGTAGCGGCATCTGAAGCTAGAGGGGTGACCCCCAAACTTGGAAGAATGTAGACACGTGGCAAATGAAAGACAACGGAAACAAAACACTGGTATTGTTTTCTGTAAATCTCAAATTCACGTTCCTCGCCTTTTTCTTCAAAACTAAAAATTGGTCAATTAAAAAAAGAAGAAAGGCTAGAGCCACAGGCAGGGCACAGGAATAGACTTTCCCCCGCCGCTCACTCCCCTCCCTCTTCCTCCTGCCTTGGCCTCTTGGGGTGGGCTGGTGGCCAGGCATTGATCTGGAAGTGGCTTCAAAGTCTTGTTATGGAAGAGTCCTTATCCTGCCTGTTCTGTTCGTGGTCTTCTAGGAAAGAAAAGAAAAGAAGATTGTTTCAAAACCATACTTTTGGGGTTACCTATGAGAAGTCAAGAATGGAGGCTCAGTTTTCTGATCTCTAAATAAAAATAATACCTCTTGAGGGTCAGCAAAAGGCAGCTGTAATGCGCCAATGAAGTGATGAGCGTAAAGGACTCTGTCAATGTCAGGTAGCCAGAAAGAACCTAGCTGTGGAGGAAAGCACAGGGACAAACCCTGTGGACGTTTATGGTGGGGGCTCTCTAGGAAGGGAGACTGGAATGATTGATTGGTCTGTTTTTTGCTCTACAAATTCACCTTTCCCTACCTAATCTACAGACAGCATGGAGAATTCTTTAAGAAAGAAAAGTTGGGTGATGCATAGAAGCTTTGGAGGTGGAGGTTTAGGGTTCAAGTTACTTAGCCTCTTAGTCCAGGCATCTTCATCTGTAACATGAGAGTAATCATTTGTCCCTCACAGGGTTGTTAAAAGGCTCACGTGTATGTAATGTATGTACAGGGCTTAGCACAGCATCTGCAGAGAAAGCGCCCAACAAATGGCAACCACGGTTGTTCTTACTACATTTGTTAATGCCAGCATGGTGGGTTCCCACAGGTGTGCATGGAACTATAGGCAGGGTGAAGGGTCATCTCTGCTAGGCTGCCTGTGCAGAAGGCCCACCATAAACAGGCCGACTGCCAGGGCACAGACAACCCCCACCCTTGGCCCCTGGCACAGAGGGTGGACTGCAGGCACTCAGACACAGAAAGGGACCTCCTGACTCAAAATGTTGGAGACACCCTCCCTGATATGGATCCAAAAACCATTTCACTGTGATCTTCACCCAACTCTATCCAAGATTTGTGGGGAATCCCCAAAGGCCAAAACGCAAACACACTGCAATTTGGTGTCTATAGAACTTTCGGCACACCTGACACAATGTAAGACAGCCATGTATGACATGTTCCAATCATGTATGACATGCACAACCCCATCTCTCTGGCCTCCCTGGGTGCAGACATACTCCTTTGGAGAAAATCATTTATACCCTGACCAACGTCACACCTCAGTTTACAAAAAATGCTAAATCTAGCCTGAATATTCCCATGAAACCACACTCTGAATGGTAGCTACAGCTCACTAGAGGCCTCAGAAAACACTAATTTCTGCCATAAGCAAGGCCCTTTTGTCAACACCCTCTTAGGTAATTTTCACACTAAACTTAGGAGGCAGGCACTGATTTTGCCATTTAACAGATGAAAAAATTGAGACTCCGAGGAGTAATCTACTTACTCTCACACAGCTGCCAATAACAGTAATGACTTGTGTGTTTGTTATGTGCCAGGCATTTTCTACAGGCTTCATGTAAATAAACTAATTTAATCCTCACAAAAGCTGTATGAGGCAGGGGCCATTATGAGCCCCATCTTATAGATGAGAAAACTGCAGCACAGAGAAGTTAAGGAACTTGCCCGAGGGCATGCAGCTAACAACTAGAAGGCCTGGCTTTGGAAGCCCAGCAGCTGTGCTCTTCTCTGATGATACTGGCACCAGGGTCTGCCCCAATGGCCACATTTTCGCCCACATTCTTTCCACCCTGCTGATGAGCCTATGTTCTTTTGGCCCTGGAACTTACCTGTCGGCTGTGTCCTGGGCTGGACATGCTTGAAGGACTGGACTGTGACAAAGCTAGGCTGCTATTTTTCCCAACCTGAAAGACACCAGTGAAACCCTATTCAGACACCAGAGCCAGTTGGGGAAGGACCCACCGATGCCATGTGTCACCAGAGAAAGGAGAAGCCTGCACTGTAATGTTCGTTCTCCTCCCATTGTATGGAACTCGTGTTTCCATCTTAAATGGCAGAGAAAATGAAAATGTTTCAGGGGTACCTTGACAATGCCCTTCTCATCCCAGAGGGAAAGTGGAATGGAGGGGAACTCTTAATTCTGCTTCCTAGATGTACAGACTGCAAGTTTCAGGGGTGAGAATGAAGGCATCTGGCGAGAGGCCTGGCCCTCCTGAGAAGATTTAATCAGCAGAGGCCTGGTTTTTCCACCTGTGGCCAAAGGGTTACACAGACTCACCCACCCCTGTCCTCCCAGACCAGCCCCAGCCCCGTCTTTCAGAAACAAGCCCAGAATCCGTCGGAACCGCTGCAGGTAAAAGCCTGGGTTGCTATTCCCAGCCGGGAGACCTTGCTGTTCTGCAGAGAAACAGCAAGGTGGTGCCATGCGCTCCTTCGAGTGGGAGCCTGAGTAGCTGTCGGGCTGTGCTAGGGCATGAGGGTGTGGCCATCGGACTCTCCCCTTTCTTGGTGACTATTCCTGGGCACACAGGAGCCTGGGTCCTCAGGTGAGTCCCATTCCCACAGGTAGCTCCTGCCCCCAGCCTATAAAGACCTCAACCTGATGTTGACTTCACATAAAGACATATGCCTTACATTCAGGTCGATTTCTTGTTGAATTCCTCTGTGGCAACTTCTGGCCTTACACCAACCAGATACCATTAAACGGATCCCCAAAACACACGTTTACATTGGATTTCTCAACCTCAAGCCATGTCTCTCCCAATCTCCTAAGAGAATCAGCACAGATTCCAAAGGCCCTCACCACTGGGAAATGCCCGCTGGTGGCGGTCTTTTCTTAGTGGCCTGGTGACAAGTGCCCAGACATTGCCTGCACAGAGAAGCAATGCTGACTAGACCCAAGGCAGCCGTGAAATTCATCACTGTTTTTGATTTCCCTCCTGATAAGCACTCTGGTGGGGCTTCTCTGCTCTTTTTACCATTGGTTTGGACTAACTGATCATGTTTACTAAATGTTTCATATTTACTCAACACAGAGGCACTCCGTGAACACGGGCACAGTGGGTAACAGCTCAGACTCCAAAGTCAAATTGCCTGGATTTAAATCCCAGCTGTGTCTCCATGCTCTGTGATTTTGGTTTAGTCATCTGTAAAATGGGAGTAATAGGTACTAACGAAATGATTAAATTTATTCCAGGTACTTGGAATAGGGCCCAACCCCAAAGCAAGCATTAGCTGCTAGAACTTTATTTAAAACGGGGGGCAGTACAGCTGCCCGTGTGCGGCGGCCTGGGATGGGAGCTTGTCAGAAACACAGATGCTCAGGCTCCGTCCCAGACCTGCTGACTGAAGACTGACATTTTACTAGGCCCCCCAGTCTCAGGGTAGGGACCTGTGGGTGCCGGCCCCCCACTCCTGTGCCCCTGGCCGGGGAGGCAGATGGCAGCTTGGGAGACACAGGTGCAGGCGTGTGGGAGCCCGGCCCGGTGAGGAGACAGTAACTCCCCCTCCTTCAGTGTGCAGCTCATCTGGCCCTTGATACCCCAACTTACTGTTTCTTGTTTTCACTTGTTATTTGTGAGCTCCCCCAAGATGTTCTCTTTGTGAGGTTTTTAACAAGTCTCAGACACAGGTGACACAAAACATTTAAACAGCTTTTTAGCAACTGCCCCTCATCTCTCTGAAGTCCCTGCCCACAGGCAGGGCTAGGCTCAGGGTCTGGCCCTCTTAATTCTGTGGCTGTAGCCCTGGGGCCCGTGGTGGGTGACGCATGAGGCCACAGGCAGGCTTGCAGACAGAGGACCCTGGGTGCACCCTCACTGCTACTCTGCACTGTGCCCAACTGGCACCAGATCTGGAGCACCTGGGGCTTTCCTAGGTGACTTCCCTAGCCTGAGGAGGAAGACTGGGCTTGAGGATGAGAACACAGCTTAGGGGAAACACGTATTCTTCTTGGACCATTTTCCCAGATTTCCTCACAACCCACGTTCCTACATGCGCAATGGCATTGAACATTTCCATGCCAGTGGGTATGGGCTGCAGTTATTACTTTAGGAAGTGAAGAGCTATATTTGGAGGATGGATGGGTAGGGGGTCAATGCACCCTGGTTAAGTGAGAGCAGCCACCTGGAAGCTGGTAGCAGGTGTTACACTCAGGTGGGACCCGAGCCACCACCTAGGCTGCCTGCACCTCGGGCTCTTCCTGAGGGGACTGCTTGGCAATAAGACCTAGTGAAGTTGTCCTCAGAATCAAGATATGAAATAAGTGGAGTGGGGAACTCAGAATCTCTCTGTGCCTCAGTTTCCTTATCTGTAAGGTGGTGATAACAATTGTACCAGCTGCCCTGGGTGGTTGTGTGAATTTAAGGAGGTGGCATTTATCTATGTAGCACTTGGAACCAGCACCTGGTGCCTGCTGAGGGTGGTAGGTCATATCTGTGAGTTAAAGTGCTCTCAGGACAGAGTGTGGACTCTGGCTGCAGGAAGACAGGAGAGCTGGTGTCACCTGAGCCACGGCTAAGCCGGCCCCCCAGAGCCAGTAAAGGCAGTGCCAGGAGGCCCCTGGAAGGACGGGTCCCTTACCTGCCGAGAGGAGGTGCTGTTAACGGGATCGGGCACCGGTGCAAGAAGGCTGGGTGGGTTCTTTTTGTGAACACTATTCATACCAGGCATTTTAGTGATTTTACAGGCTTTGCTACTAGAACTCGAGTTCTTACGCTTTTTTCCTTCTGATTTGTCAAAAGAGAGGGGCAGAGAAGACACGGCATTGTGAGAGGCCAGAGAGAGGTCCCCTGCAAGGGAGGGCACAGGGAGGGGACATGAGTCACTGCTGCCGCCCACCGAGCCCATGTGTCTCACTATGTCCGCGGGGCCGCTGGGCAGCGAGGTCCGTCCTGAGGGCTCCAGTTTGGCACTGAGTGGGCTCACCCCACTGTTGGAGTTGTGCACAGACAGACTGTTATAGGGGGTGGCCGCCTGATAGGAGTTCAAAGCTGAACTGGCATTCAAAACGCAGTTCTTTTTGTGGGGCCCTGCTAATGGAGACGAAAGGGATGTCTGCAAGGATAATGAGGCGGAGGAGGAGGAAGTCGAAGACTGTGGCTTCCTCTTTTTGTTACTTGGAGACTCGTCGCTACGGGAGGACAGGTCTTTGACTTTTGAGGATTTGCTGGTTTTGGTTTTGGATGGCTTGTGGGATGGGGAAGGGATGACGGCTGGTATCGGGGACACAGCGGAGGGGGCCTTGAAGGTTGAGTCCATGATGCTGAGGGTTGCAGCCACATGAGGGAAAGCTGTGGTGTGTGACATGAGGGCGCTCGGGTCCGGCGATGTCACAAAAGCTGCATTTGAGAGCATGGCTGATGTCATTATGTAAGAAGAGGTGAGTCTCGAGCTGATGGGAGCTGAAGGAAGGTACACAGCACTGGGGTTGCTGAAAGGCTGTAAAACGGATGCTGGAACGGGGGTGGTGATGTGGGCTGCTGGCGAGGGCATGGGGCTATCTGCCGCAGGAGGGATCTTCCTAAACATGAGAGAAGAGTGAGAGACACAGTGAGAAACAGCTTGGTATCGCTCCAGAGGCTCAATGAAGTGTGAGCGTCAGGGCCACAGAGAACACCCCGGCAGAACCAGACTATGGAAAATGAAGCCTTGGAGGATGACAAACTCTGATTATGGCCCCTCCCTATGGTTCCCCCCATTGCAACACCCAGCAACCTAGTCTTAACCACTTTCGGGTTTTCAGGTCCTTTTCTCCATGCTTGGCTACTGGATAATGGCTGCCTTGTTCATGAGTAAAAGGTGAATGTTATTTAGAACATATCTTTCCCCAATCGCATTTCCCTATTTTTTTTTGGCAGTGATGAAGGTGGTTTTTAATGAGAAGTGGTCATTTCACACTTAGTACTGGCTTGAGGTAAGAAGTGTGAGGACGGGGCTTTGCCACCTGCACACGGGGGCCCGGGCATCCTCCTGCCTCCCACCCTGCTCTTTGGGAGAGGCAGTCAAGGAGTCACCCCCCTTATGGGCCAGCAGCCAGCTGCCTTTGCTGTCTGCAGCCCTTGCTTTGATGTCTGTAGAGAGGCATTTCCCCATCAGCTTGGGGCGGCTGGCCCTGCTGTTTGCCATTTCCCTGCCCCTAGCTCAGCTCTCAGAGGAGCTGTAGTTGGGGTGTGGTCTTTCATGGGTCTTCTTGCCCATCAAGCAAGGGTGAGAGGACAGCGGCCCTCATGCACCCAGAGGAGGAGGACCAGGAATTCCTAGTTTGTTCAGAAGATACTGCAGATGTGGGCACGGGAGAACGTATGGACAGGGGTGGTCTTCCTGGAGGCTGAGGGGAGCCTGAGAGCCAACGCCCTACCTTTAACGCTCTCTGGGGCCAAGGCCAGAGCCAGGCGGTGGGTCACTCCTGGGGCCCCCTGTAAACTCCATCTTTTGACTCGTACTAAAAACAGCTCCCACCTCCCAACCAGGGCCTGGGTTGACGTGGCTGCTACTCCAGGGACCGGGAGGGGCATACGGCCTCCCTGGGGCCACTACTTGTTCCTGATTTCACAGGAAAGAACACTGACCTCAGGAGCCAGGTGAATATTTGCTCCCTGGCTCTTCCTTCTTCCTCACCTTGCTCCCCCTCCCCATTCCTCTAGGAAACCATTTGCAATGTAGCTGGGGCTCCTCATTGTAAGGAACTAGTTTTCTCTCTGAAAGCAGTGCTTGAAGGCAGGCAGGCCTTGGGCTTGTGCTCCATGGGCTTTGAGCAAGGAATGAGATGGGGCCTCTCCCAGTCCCTTGTCTCCTCGGAGGCCACCCTCCCAGCTGTGGCATCAGGGCGAGGTGCCTGGGAACTCTGGAAAGAGGACAGTGAGAAGGAAATGCCTCTCCTAGAGCTGCTCTCTCTGAGGATTCAGTTTTCTGCCTGCAGTTTGGTGGAAGCATAAATCCCATCTTTAGCAGGAGTCCAGAGGAATCCTTCTGTACAGAAGCAGTGTCATTGAAAACATCAGACCAAGGAGATCAAATAAAAGAGGAAAATGGTGCCAAACCCACTGTGGGCATAATGGTGTTTGAAATCTACTTTCTCTCAAGTCTAAAGAATGTAACAGATCTGCCAGCACTAAGCAAGTGCCCATTAGGACTTGTTGCAATGAATGAATGAGTTAATGGATGGATGGATGGATGGGTGGGTGGATGGGTGAGCAGGTGAATTCTCAGCAGCAACATAACTATGCATGCTGGGCAAGGACTCCCGTATAATCAGACCGGAAAGGCGTACTTATGCCCTTGGAACTGTCTGGCACTGCACAGCATCTCCCAGCACACATGGCATCAGCATACCCTCCCTGTGTTGGCTGCCTTGCTGTGGTACTACAGGCTTCCCACCCAGTCGCTCCTCACCAACTAAAGTATGGATAGAAATACATGTGGGTGGAGGTCTGGCAATTGCTCATAATAAAGTTATTTCTAGATAGCTCATGTCTTTGGGAGGACCCTAGTCAGTGACCTTAACTGTGATCTATGCTGAATGCCCCAATTTGTAATCTTCCCATTAAATACTGCAAATTCATGCCTCTGTGCTGCAAGCAGAGCTGTCACCCTCAGTCTTACCTGGCTGACACTAAGGATGGGGATGGCTGCTATTTTTCAGCATACTTCCTATTCCTTTCCTTCCTCTCCACACTGATCAAAAGTGGGCAGCAGAGGCAAGAGGGGAGAAAGGGCAGGGGAAAAGCAGGGCAAGGAGCATGTGACAGCTCGGTGTCCCTGGGAGCCTTCCTCCTTGCTAAGTAGTTCATGTGTTTTTGCAGGTGCCTAGTGGCAGTGGATTCCAGCTTTGCGGGCTGGGCCCCGTGTTAAGCTTCGCACGCTGGCCTAGGGAGGTCCCGTACAAAGCCCGTCCCTGACAGTGCCCGTCCTCCCCTGCCAGCTGGCATGGAGATCCAGATGCTGACCTGGCTGAAAGAGAACACTGTGTTGGCGTCTCCTGATGCAGAGTTAAATGCTTGTTAAAGAAAAAAGAGTCTCGGCCGTTCCTTTTCTTCCTAATGTCTTCCACGCCCCCATCAGCTGCCATCCCTCCGGGGTCGGGCCCATCGGGGCCTGGGCTTTGGGCAGCGAGGCTGAGAGGGCAGCGGGGTGCTACGCTCTCCAGAGTTGACACCCAGGCAGCCCCAATGTTGCTCAGTGACAGCAGATTGGTTAGGCAAGTCCTGAAAAGGGGGGAGGGACCTGATGCCCTGTGGCTCGGGTTTCTGTGCCTGAGGAGGAAAGGAATATGGAGCTTGAGCTGACAGGACACCAGGTTGCGCAATACAGATCAACACATTCCTTCCACGTGTCCAGGGTTTACACTTCCACAACACAGGAGGGCAAAGAGCTGCGGGAGTTGCCAGGGCTGGCTGCCATCTTGGGGAACAAGTGCAGAAGCATAAATAACCAAATAACCGAGAACATGGTCACCCCACATGCAGCGCTAGTTGGTGGCTGTGTAGAATGGAAACAGGTAGATAGCTATCAAGGGTCTGTTTAGACACACTGGGCAGTCGCTTAAATGAGAAGATATGATAAGCTTCTCTTGTGGCCCTTTCCTACGTTATAGTGAGTGTCAACATTCAGTCATGTGTCTGCTACAAGAGCTCTCTGCAGGCACAGAGGCTCAGTGCTCCTAGAAGGTCCCAGCTGGAAGCTCCTTGGACATCACGGTGGAAAGGGGCTGGGGTGACACAGCTGCCCGGGAGAGAGGAGGAAACCCGGGAGAGGGGCAAGGTTTGGGTTCTGTTCCCATCCCCAAACCGACCACCCACCCATTTCTCCTCGATGCCTGCCTGCTTTCCCTGCACTTCCCTGGACAGGGTGAGGGGTCCAGTGCTGGCCCCAAGGGATCCATGATTCTACTGGCATGACATCTTACGAGCTCACCTCTTTAGGAATGGGGGCGGGGACACCCCGTGGGCTGGGTTTATGTGACCCAGAGCAGGCACAGCAGCTCCTATGTGCCATGGGAGGGTCTAGCCTGTCATTCCTTTAAAATAGTATTTTCCTAAATCAAGAAGGTTTTTTCCTTTTTCATGAATCTCCTATTAAAATGTAAATACATTGGGAGGTGTTGGAGAATGAAGGGATCATAGAGAAATGAAAATTAGCTGGGGTGTAAGGTAGAGAGAAGTACAGGTGAGGAGAGTTCTAGGGAGGTGGGAAGGGCCAAAGACAAGCTTAACCAACTTCAAGACATGGCTCAGGATCTGCCCTGGTGGCCCCTACACATATTTTTTCCCCAGGAATTAGAAATTGGTCCATAACCATTATGAAATTTTTAGTATTGACATTGTACCCTTAACATTACAAACACAAGCATATTCTTAATATCCTCAGAGGTTCTCAGTCATAACAAAAAGGACCTTTACCACTGTTAAATAAACAGACCTTAGCTTATACCTTTTTCATTTAGGTTAGCATATTACCAACACAAAAATGACCCCCTAAGAAGAAAAAAGCATACCACACATTGTAGGGGTCTCTGAAAAACTGTAGGCAAGCCATAGAGAAGGGCTGACATTTAAGAATTCATCCTGAACCCTGGTTTCAGAATTATTTTGTTCTATAAAAAGCCAACCACTGACATTGTTTATAAAGTTGGGGTTCAGAGAGTTGTGGGGCAGCTCTGATCTTACATTACACAGGAACTGCTCACTTACTTCCACATCTGTGAATTCAAGTGTTTTTCTACCATGGAGTTTACTGCCAATCGAAAACGATCCCATCTTCTATCAAACACATAGTACCCTCGTCCCATGAGGCGACTCCCGAATGAGCAAAACTGTGAGGGAGAAAACATTTAGATTTTGATTACAGATTAATAAGCTAATATAAACCATGCAGAGAAAAATAACATTTGCACAAAAACACACAGGGGTACAATTTTACTCAAACTACAGAAGCAAATAGTACTGAAGCCAAAAATATTTCTGTGGTGCTTTTGTTTGAGCTCTAGGTTTTCTGCAGAACCTCACATTATGACTCTACAATAGTGACAGCTTTCTGTGGCACCGATAGCTACCTTCTCCACACCTGGGACCGAGCCAGCATTTCAGTTAAAAAAAAAAAAAAGTGCAAAGCAATGAAGACCAGCAGCCAGGGTGATTTTTTCAGCACCACCTGCTTTTACTGTATCACCCACCTTCCCACCACCATAACGGAAACTGCTTGTTCTCATGCTCTTCTGCCAACTGGTCATACCTTTCTGATCCATTGTCAGTAGAGCTGCTTCACTTCTGACTAGGCTGAACTTCTTTTCCTAGTCCTGACCTCATGCCTGCCTCCTACTAGTGTTTGCAGGCTGTCCTGGGGCACATCACTACCTCCAAGCTCACAGCCATGCTGCACCCTCTGCCTGCTATCTCCTTCCTGATTCTCCCTCCCTGTCACTCCCGGGTCTCCCTTCCCTCGGTATCCTCATTCAGACCCTCCTTTCTAATGGCCCCTGTCTGACTGATCTCACCATTTTGGACTCCGCGGCACACCAACTGCATACATGATTATATTTCACCCTGGAATCACTACATGGCTGTTTTATGTTCTTTGTAATGCCTATGTGCCTGATTTGATTATAAATTTACAAAGGCTGAGGCCCTCATGCTCTTCTTCCTCCTCAGATGAGGACAGTAGGTATTTGGGCTAAAGGGTGGATTAAAGAGACAAGGTCCCTCAACATATTTAAAGCAAATCATCACACTTAAAACATATGGCTTAAATATATGTAGCTTGGTGTTTAATAAAACATCCTTTGATTATGATGTTAGGATAACCAGAAGGTTGGTAGATAGAAATGCAAGGAGCGGCCTCTGAAAAGGTGACATTTGGCTGGTCTGGAGCTCAGGCAAGTCTGAAAATGACTCTATAACTCAAATGCAGCTTCTTCCCCTACCTCGAGGCCTCTCAGCAGCTCCCTGGCCTCCATCCTAGACACAGTGCTGGATTGGCACCCATTCCACAATGCCTTCCTGGAACCAGCCTTTGGAACAGCTCTTAGGAGGAAATGCAGGATCTTCCTTTTGTTTTGTTGGTCCTTACGTTTTGGGGGTTTTGCATTAAAATCCTGCCACCCATGAACTCTGGTCCTCCTGATATCAAATTCTTTCCTGCACTTCCACAACAAGTGCTTACTGACCAAGTAAGAAAACATACAAAGGAAACTCTCCAATAGGGAAGCTGGCACCCAGCAGTGTATGGGAGCTGTTTCAGGTTTAGACACCGTTCTTCATCCCCTTGCTAAGGATGCCCTGATTAGTGTTCACTATAAGAAAGCATTTAGGGTATTCATTGACCATGAGAGGAAGGATAAAGCAAAGCAACAAATCTGTGGCCTTTCCATTTAAATCAGCAAAACATGAAGGGCATACAAATCTGCCATGCCCAGAGCTGAGCTAATCCACTGTAGCTTGGCAGCTTGTCATTTGGACAAACATCCTGATGTGCTCTGGAATCTGGCCTTCTGGCAGAGCCTGGTCTCACTTTCAAACCTGACAGCCATAGGGCCCTTAATGTCGGTGCTACTGACATCTCTAATTCAATGCAGAAGCAACACTAGATGCCCCACTAGACTCCTGTTCTGGGCTGTATATTATGCCCTCAGGAGAGCTATAGATCCCCACCACTTTGGCCACTCTGGCAGACCCCACTGGTTGCCACTCTCATCAACTACATCCCTGCTTCACTTCCAACTAGTCTGCCTCTTCCTGTCTTTTCTTTGCTAATGGAACCACACATCTGTTCTGGTATATGATACAGAGCTATGAGCAGGGAATGTGGGTCTATTCCCAGAACCTTAGAATGAATCAGGGCTGGTTTCACGCTGTGTCACTGCAAGCCCATCTTTCTCTGCCTCCAACTACTCTAGGGGTGGGCATGTAACCCTCTTCTGCTAGACGTGAGGAGAGGTCTTCTGGAACTACTCAAAGGAAGATTCTCTTTTCTAAGACTAGACATAAGATTAGCACCTTAGAAGAAGACTCCCTTTCTGTTTGTCCCTTCCTACCCTTTGTAGAACACTACTGGCTGGGGCTGGGTGCTGGAGCTGTAGCAGACGTGCTGAGCCTGTGCATGAAAGGTGAAGAGGGTTGCAGAGATTCTCCTGCAGAAACACATCTCCACTGTGGAGCTGCTGAGCCAAGCTTGGAGCCATCTACCTCTAGACTTCCTGTTATGTCAGATAATTAAATGACTGCAGTGCATACACTCTATGAGTTGAACTTTCTGTTACTGGAAATCAAAGGCATTCCTAATTGTCCCTCCTTCTGTACTAGCCAAGAGGCAAAGGCTCAGGCTGTTGGTGAGCCACAAGTCACCACCATTCTCAGAAACAGGAAGTAAGTTTGGCCTTCATTTATCACACAGGTATAAGGGAGGAGGGACTCAGTCTAGCTCGATTCAGGACTGATTTGACCTGTGGAGCCCATGACATCTAGGGATAGTCTCTGAGGTCAAAGCTATTCTTAGAGGGCTTAAGATGGGAGCAGAATCAACATCATACACCACACCAAGAAAAAGAAGGACAAAAACCACATGATCATCTCCATAGACGCTGAAAAAGCATTTGACAAAATTCAACATCCATTCATGATAAAAACTCTCAACAAAATGGGTATAGAGGGCAAGTACCTCAAAGGGGATTAAAGATGGTGGCGTGAGAGGTGAGACAGAGGCTTCCTCCTAAACCACATATAATACGAAAATATAATTAATGCAACTAATCCTGAAAGAGCAACAGGAAAGAGGTCTGTGCCAGACTGCACACACCTGGAGAAAAGAGCAGACCTCACAGAAGAGGGTAACGTACCAAAGCTCTGGCCCGGCAGGACCCAAGCCCTGCTCCCACCCCAGCTCACTGGAGAGAGGAAGAGAAATGGAGTGAAGAGGGAGTGGAGGCCTGGGACTGCTGAATACCTAACTCCAGAGATCTGCTCTGGGAGCACAACCCTACATTTCATGGTGCTTGCATGGCACTCTCATGATTACAGGGTTGGAAAGCTAAGACAGGCAGAATTCCTGGAGAGACTGAGATTCCAGCCACTTGTGGAAAGCAGGGATCCATATCTGGCTACTCTGGGACAAAAGAAGGGAGGGCAGTCTGAGAGACTTCCTAACAAGGAAGCACTTAGCAGGAGGGCTGCTAAAGGGGTAAGGATTGCACAGAGCTTACTGCTCAGGAGAATGGACAGGTAGACAAAACTGTCTGAGTGCACTTTGCCCAGCAGGTTGGGAGCTTTCATGATTTCCAGGTGCTCCAGCTCCCTGGCTGGCTACACAGCTCCAAGGAGTCCCTCTGTGATACACAGCCTACTGTGCTTTTCTCCCGGCCAGCCCCACCTGGCTCGCAGACTGGCAAACCCTACCCTGGCGTTAGGCCAGTCAGAGGGAAGATCTGTCTACAGCAACTACAAACGCAAAGCATAGAGGTATATACCTGTGTGCTCAGCCCACTGGTTCAGGCAGTGGAGACAGACATAGCAGCCGGGAAGCAGGGAACAGTCCTTTCTTCCCCCCAGGCACCAATACCACTCCCCTGCAACCCCGGACATTGCTTCAGGGGCTGAGCAGCTCCAGAGAGTAGAGCTTCTGGACACTAGAGGGCGCCATACACAAATATGAAATGCCAAAGGAACCTGGTTCAAAGTAAAATTAATATAACTGCTGAGAAAGATGACATGAACTTCACGACTCTTCCTGAAAGGGAGTTCAAAATGAAAATCATTAACATGCTCATGGAGGTATGGAAAATATTCAAGTACTCAGGAATGAATTCCGGTCGGAGATCCAATCGTTGAAGAGCACAATGGAGGGTATTAAAAGCAGATTAGATATGGTGAAGGAGACGATAAATGAAATAGAAACCAGAGAAGAGGAATACAAAGAAGCTGAAGCACAGAGAGAAAAACAGATCCCTAAGAATGAAAGAATATTGAGAGAACTGTGTAACCAATCAAAATGGAACAATATTAGCATTAAAGGGGTACCAGAAGAAGAAGAAGAGAGAGAGAGAAAGGGATAGAAAGTGTGAGGAGGTAATTGCTGATAGTCTCTCAGGCCATGGAGATGCACAGATCTCCCAACACAAGGGACCCAAGGAAGACTACACCAAGATATACAGTAATTAAAATGGCGAAGATCAAGGATAAGGACAGAGTACTAAAAGCAGCCATAGACAGAAATAAGATCACATACAAAGGAAAGCCCATAAGGCTATCATCAGACTTCTCAGCAGAAACCTTACAGGCCAGAAGGGAGGGGCATGATATATTTAACACAATGAAGCAGAAGGGCCTTAAACCAAGATTACTTTATCCGGCAAGATTATCATTTAAATTTGAAGGAGGGATTAAACAATTTCCAGATAAGCAAAAGCTGGGAGAATTTACCTCCCACAAACCACCTCTAAGAACAAAACTCCTGGACCAGATGGCTTCACCGCTGAATTTTATCAAACATTTAGTGAAGACCTAATACCCATCCTCCTTAAAGTTTTCCAAAGAGTAGAAGAAGAGGGAATACTTCCAAACTCATTCTATAAGGCCAGCATCACTCTAATACCAAAACCAGGCAAAGACATCACAAAAAAAGAAAATTATGGACCAATATCCCTGATGAATATAGATGCAAAAATATCAACAAAATATTAGCAAACCGAATTAAAAAATACATCAAAAAGATCATCCATCATGATCGAGTAGGATTTATTCCATGGACGCAAGGATGGTACAACATTCAAAAATCCATCAACATCATCCACCACCTCAACAAAAAGGATAAAACCACATGATAATCTCCATAGATGCTGAAAAAGCACTCGACAAAATTCAACAGCCATTCATGATAAAAATTCTCAACAAAATGGGTATAGAGAGCAAGTACCTCAACATAATAAAGGCCATATATGACAAACCCACAGCCAACATCATACTTAACAGTGAGAAGCTGAAAGCTTTTCCTCTAAGATCCAGAACAAGACAAGGATGCATACTCTCCCATCTTTTATTCAGCATAGTTCTGGAGGTCCTTGCCATGACAATCAGACATCACAAAGAAATAAAAAGGTATCTAGATTGGTAAGGAAGAAGTTAAACTGTCACTGTTTGCAGATGACATGATATTGTACATAAAAAAACCATAAAGAATCTACTCCAAAACTACTAGAACTAATATGTGGATTCAGGAAAGTTGCAGGATACAGAATTATTACACAGAAATCTGTTACATTCCTATATACTAACAAGTGAACTAGCAGAAAGAGAAATCAGGAGAACAATTACATTCACAATAGCATCAAAAAGAATAAAATACCTAGGAATAAACCCAACCAAGGAAGCAAAAGACCTATACCCTGAGAACTACAAGACACTCATGAGAGAAATTAAAGAAGATACCAATAAGTGGAAATACATCCCATGCTCATGGATAGGAAGAATTAATATTGTCAAAATAGCCATCCTGCCTAAAGCAGTCTACAGATTCAATTCAATCCCTATTAAAATACCAACAGCATTCTTCAACGAACTAGAGCAAATAGTTCTAAAATTCAAATGGAATCACAAAAGACTCTGAATAGCCAAAGCAATCCTGAGAAGGAAGAATAAAGCTGGGGGGATTATGCTCCCTGACTTCAAGCTCTACGACAGTCACAGTAATCAAGATAATCTGGTACCAGTACAAGAACAGACACATAGATCAGTGGGACAGACTAGAGAGCCCTGATACAAACCCAACCATATATGGTCAATTAATATACTATAAAGGAGCCATGGATACACAATGGGGAAATAACAGCCGCTTCAAAAACTGGTGTTAGCAAAACTGGACAGCTACATGCAAGAGAATGAAACTGGTTTGTTGTCTAACTCCATACACAAAAGTAAACTGAAAATGGATCAAAGATCTGAATGTAAGTCACAAAACCATAAAACTGTTAGAAGAAAACATAGGCAAACTCTCTTGAATATAAACATGAGCAACTTTTTCCTGAACTCATCTCCTTGGGCAAGGGAAACAAAAGCAAAAATGAACAAATGGGACTACATCAAGCTAAAAAGCTTCTGTACAGCAAAGGATAGCATCAACAGAACAAAAAGGCATCTTACAGTATGGGAGAATATATCTGTAAACAACATATCCCACAAGCAGTTAACATTGAAAACATATAAAGAATTCAAATGCCTCAACACACAAAAAGCAAAAACCCAATTAAAAAATGGATGGAGGATATGAACAGACAATTCTCCAAAGAAGAAATTCAGATGGCCAACAGACACATGAAAAGATGTTCCACATCACTAATTATCAGAGAAATGAACATTAAAACCATAATGAGATAGCACCTCACACCAGTTAGGATGGCCAACTTCCAAAAGACTAGGAACAACAGATGCTGGCAAGGATGCAGAGAAAGGGGAACCTTCCTACACTGCTGGTGGGAAGTAAATTAGTTCAACCATTGTGGAAAGCAATATGGAGGTTCCTCAAAAAACTAAAAATAGAAATACCATTTGACCTGGGAATTCCACTCCTAGGAATTTACTCAAATAAAACAAGTTCTCAGATTCAAAAAGACATATGCACCCCTATGTTTATCACAGCACTATTTACAATAGCCAAGATGCGGAAGCAACCTAAGTGTCCATCAGTAGATGAATGGATAAAGAAGCTGTGGTACATATAAACAATGGAATACTATTCAGCAGTAAGAAAGAAACAAATCCTACCATTTGCAACAACGTGGATGGTGCTAGAGGGTTATGCTCAGTAAAATAAGCCAGGCGGAGAAAGACAAATACTAAATGACTTAACTCATATGTGGAGTATAAGAACAAAAGAAAACTGAAGGAACAAAACAGCAGCAGAAGCACAGAACCCAAGAATGGACTAATAGTTACCAAAGGGAAAGGGACTGGGGAGGACGGGTGGGAAGGGAGGGATAAGGGCGGGGAAAAAAGAAAGGGGGCATTACGATTAGCATGTGTAGCGTTGGGTGGGGGGCACAGGGAGGGCTGTGCAACACAGAGAAGACAAGTAGTGATCTTACAGCATTTTACTATGTTGATGGACAGTGACTGTGAACGGGGATGTGGGGGGGACTTGGTGAAGGGGGGAGCCTAGTAAACATAATGTCCTTCATGTAATTGTAGATTAATGATACCAAAATAAAAAAATAATAATAATAAGCCAGGCCGAGAAAGACAAGTACCAAATGACTTCACTCATTTGTGGAGTATAATGACAAAGCAAAACTGAAGGAACAAAACAGCAACAGACTCAACAGACTCCAAGAAAGGAGTAGCGGTTACCAAAGGGGAGGGGTTGGGGGGGGTGGGGAGTGAGGAAGAAGTGGATTGAGGGGCATTATGATTGGCATACATGGTATCGGGGGGATCATGGGGAAGATAGTATAGCACAGAGAAGGCAAATAGTGATTCTTTGGCATCTTACTACACTGATGGACAGTGACTGCAATGGGGTATGGGGGGGACTTGATAATATGGGTGAATGCAGTTCACAGTGTTTTTCATTTGAAACCTTCATAAGAGTATATATCAATGATAACTTAAAAAATAAAAATAAAAATACCATTAAAAAAAAAGATGGGAGCAGAGCAAACTGGCCATGGGGCCCACATTTCAGGTCTCCTGGAACTGGCTCTATGATGGCAGCATCAGGTATTCCCTTCTCAAGTGCTTGGGAGGCAAACACAAACAAGCCTCCAGCCCACGTCTCCTTACATTTCCCACATTTCAATGACCTTCTGAATTGTGAAAGTGGATTCTTTCAACGAATTGGGAAGAAACTACTGACCTTTTTGTTATTCAGCTATCATGCTGACATGAAATGCCTCCTCTTCTCCTACACACACACACACACACACACACACACACACACACACACACACTTTGGTGCCATATGGTCACACTTACAATAAAACGCAGAATCAACAGGGGAGAAAACCAGCGATGGGCTGGCACCTGGCACAATGCTAAAACAGACGGCTTCCAAAGCAGGTGAGCTAGACTAACTCTTGAAATCAGAGGCTCCATTTTTAGATGGGCAAGGCTAGAAGGTCAGCTCCCTGGTGCATTCATATAAACACCAGTTCTCAAGCATTATCACTTCAAGGTGGACCATAAATACTCAGGTGTTTAAAGGATTATAACCAGCTGGGAGCCCTTTCCTTTCCTTTTGTGATTTTCAAGGGTATTTCTAAGATAAGCACTCAACCTCAGGGTAAGCCTTTCCACAAGACACTGTCCTGGCAGCCTCTCTGGGGACACGTGCTGTCTGACAAGCCCACCTCAAAGCCCACGAGGTGCTGGGGAGAAAAATGCACAGAAGGGAACAGAAGGTGGCCTACCGCGAGAGGCTTGGGGTGGTGGGTGGAGAAGTGACAGTCCAACTTCTCAGATTCATCAGCTCCGTCCATCTCCCCTTCATCACTGGACAGTCGGCTGGCAAGGTCCCCGGCCACTGGGGCTAGAGGGGGCTCCGGAGTGTGGCCACTGTGACCGGAAGATGTGGTGCTGCTTATGCTGTTTGCAGATGATGGTCTAACAGGCGAGAGGACAAAATAAATACTTCCTTTAGGTAACAGGACCCACCCATCTTAAAGGTCTCCGAAGGCAGACTGGGGGGAAAATGGAAGTTCCTGTGGCCAGGATCCTCACCTGACCCTAAACTACTTGATGATGTCACTGGCCTGCTGCTAGGCTACTGCTCCCACACCCATAGGCAATGAGCTAATACTGACTTAGTCACTATATAAAGAGCTCTGTCCAGTGCTCTGGGTGGAGGCAGAGAGGGAGGTGGATTATGGAACTGCAAGCTGCTGGATGTAGATGTGATTCTAGTGCTCAACCCTATTGCCAGGAGAACAAAGCCAAGTAGAAACCCTTTTACCACAAGAAAGTTCCATTGTCATTCCTCGGTTTCATTGAATCCATAGTGAACTTGATTGGGGCTGAAACCCACTGGCAAGACAGACCAATTAGCCTTCCTGATACAGGTCAGTGGCAAATGTGCATGAGGGAGAAATTCTGGCTGAGAGGGATAGCAACGACCAGCTCTCTACAGCAACCTTGCGGGGGCTGAGGCTCTGGCCTGCTTGAATCTGGGCACCAGGGAAAACTCCATCAGTGTAAGCAGAACATAACTACAGTAATGGGACAGAGCTTATTTAACTTCAAAGCCTCTGAATTCCATTACAGCTATCCACCCATTTGCATGTAATTTGTATTTGCCATGTTGCTGCTTCTCTTTGAAAGTAGAAACTGACAAGACCATCAACCCAGTAAACAAGTTCAAACAATCAACAAAATATTCTTGATGATAAATGACCCATACAAATGTTTTTTTTTCTTTTGCTACTTAACTATGGCTTTATGAACTTGTTATCATACTGGCACAACAAAAGGTTTTGTCCCAGTGATGCAGCCACAAACCCCTTACTGCACAGCCATGCCTCTTTCTTAATAAATATCAAGCTACATGTAGTAAATGGTATTTTCTAAGGATGAATGTTTCCATTTAATTTTTTACAAGCCACTGGGCCCAGAGCTGGTGTGGTTGGCTCATAGTAGGTGTTGAAGAAATATGTTTCTTAAGGAATGAATTAATTCCATGTATATAAAACAATCCAAGAGATCTCATCTCAATTTTGGCTATGCTTATAGAAAAACAATGTCACAGTAAGAGGTAGCACTACATGCTTCCTAAGCACTAAAAAACACAATGAAACAAGGCAAAAACAAAATGGAAACAAACACAACCACATCAGTAGAAGAGTTAGAAGAGGAACAGTCAGAGTTAGCTTTTACTGCTTCTCTATTTTTATCAGGTGCTTGCCCCAGGAGAAAGACAGGGAGAAAAAAAATCAAGATTTCTTTTTTTAAAAACTATTTTTCTGCATTCTGCTTTGGAAACTTCCCCTTCAAGAAACACGAGCACCACTGATGTGTCTCCCTTCTCTCTCATTTTCACTCTGGAGTCTCTATTGCTTTGCAATCTTTCTAGATGTCAAATACCCAAGTTCAAACCAGATCCCCAAAGCATAGTCATTTAAAAACAAAGACACAGAGGCAGAAACAACCCAAATGTCCATCAATAGATGAATGGGTAAACAAAATATGGTGTATTCATACAATGGAGTATTACTTAAGTCTTAAAAAGGAATGAAATTCTGAGACATGCTATAATATGGATGAACCTTGAAGACATTATGCTAAGTGAAATAAACCAGTCAAAGGACAAATATTATATGATTTCACATATATGAGGAACCTAGGATAGTCAAATCATAGAGACAGAGAGTAGAATGGGGGTCACCAGGGGGAATAGAGAGTCAGTGGGCATAGAATTTCTGTTTGGGCTGATGAAGAAGTTCTGGAAATGGATGGTGATGATGGCTGCACCACAGTATGAATGTATTTAATGCCACTAAACTGTATACTTAGAAATGGTTAACGGTAAATTTTATGTTCTGCATATTTTACCACATGTAAAAACCTCAAAAAAGACAAAAATAATGCAACAGGTAGTTTTTCAGTGTTATTATAAGAGCTCTACTGGTATGGCAATTTATTATTGGTTATCACCTCCAATACTTATAAAAACAAAGACAACATTCATTTTGCATATCAAAAGTCAGAGAACACATCTCCCCAGGTGCATTTCTGGATTCCCACTCCCCTGTATCAGAAGGGGCAACAACACTATTGCCTGTTGACAGCTGAGGACCCAAATAGAAACAATTTTGATAATGCTGAAACATATAAAGAAAGAAAACAGAATTCATAACCCTTCTCCTCAAGATTAAGTATTACCATTTCGATTTCTATCTTTTTAGATTCCTTCACTGTGCATACACAGGCCCATGTGTTTTCAAGAACTGGATTGCACAGTATATACTATTTTGAGACATGCTTTTTTTTTTTAACTTAGTGAAGTTGTAAAAATCTTTCCATGTTAGAACTGTATCATCATTTAAAATACTTCCTGGTATTCCATAGTATGGATATATCATACTTTACTTAACTAGCCTACTGATGGACATTTAAGTTCTTTCCAACCTTTCAAGTAGGCTTTTTTTCTGAACCCTCCCTGCCACGATGGGACCACCCTGTCCTGCAGGAGATAAAAGTGAGCTGGATTTTGTTAAGCATGAAATGGCATCATGGTTATATAGGAAAATATCTTTACTTTTTAAAGATGCACTTGGGAAATCTTTAGAGGTGAAATGCCATGATATCTGCATTTACTTCAAAGTATATCATCATAAATGTAGATGAAATAAATATAATTGCAAAATATTAATAGTACAACAGTTAAAACCAGGTATGTAAGTGTTCATAATATTCTATCTCCTCTTCCATTCATGCGAAAAGATTTCACAGCTAAAAGTAAAAAAACAAAAATAAAAATAAAGAGATCTAGTAATACAGGTATGTGTTAATAATGTGGCTGAAAAACTTCCTGTTAAACGGGACAGATGGATTGAACACACTTGTTTCCTCTCCCTCCCAAAATACTACTAAAATCAGAGTAAAGGGATAAAAAAGGCATTAATCCCAAAGAACAAAGAGATGAGCAGAAACATGGTGATAGTTAGGGTGATGACATCCCAGCTTCCATTTAATCCTTAAGCCAGTAATAGGAATCTCACATCTTGCTAATGACTGGTTTGGACAAGGGCATGATAAATGAAAGAAAAGGTACTTTCTTGGGTAGGGCAACTTTGCAGAGATTTTTCTCACTTCTAAAAATAGACACAAGGAAAAGGTGGGCTCCACCTTCATCTGGACCTTGTTTTATCTGGATGTGTACTGCAAGTGCCGGAGCCATGCTGCTACAGACTTAGAAGACGAAGCCATAAGAGAAGGCAGAGGAGACCTGGCTCCTGACCTCTGGGGACCAGTGTTCACATCTAGATGTCTGGCTTCCTGTCACATGTGATAATAAGTGTCCCAGTTATTTAAGTATTTGGTAAGACTAGGTTTCCTGCTACATGCACGTGAAGCACCCTGTTACTTGAACTGATACAAGTGTGAGTAAGAGATTTTAACATATTTTTGGAAGACTGAATGTGGTTGGAGAACCGTGATCTGATGGGAAGGGAACTGCCTTGCCACAGACCCTCTCAGCAGCAGGACACCTGGAGCTACCTGGAGCTACCTGGAGCCGCAGAAGTCATGGGTGAGGTGAGGACTAGATCTAGCAAGAGAGGTGAATGTCTTAACATGTGCGGTTAGTCCTACAGGTCACCCCTAACACCTCACACAGCCAGACGCCTCAGTGCTGCCCCTGCCCAACCTCACCTCAGCTCTCCAAAGAAGGAATAAAGGTGTACTCTGCAGAGACTGGAGGGACAGGAGCTGGAAGCAAGGTAACTGGGGGTTGCCCCTGGTCAGGTCCTTAGTCAGCACTTTCAGAACGCTTATGGCTGGGCACATCACTAGGCAGAATTCTTCTCTTGAGAAATTGGCCCCACAGAAAAGGCTTCCAGATCTTGCCTTTGGGAACCCTCCAGTAAAAGTCTGATTGGTGACCTGATGACTTCTGGTTGACAGTCCCACACATGGACTTCCAACAGGGCTGTTAGATCATCTCTTCTAAATATGAATGGTTAGGGATAGCCAAACATTCCTGGAACATTGTCAACATGAGACTGACCGACCAAATGTCAAATGCATGAACACAGATATGAAACAAACCAGGAAGAAATAAACAAAGGAAAGAGAAAAACCTAAAAAGAGGAAGATGATGAAGAAGAAAAATTTTAAAAACTTATCTTCAGAGATATTAGAATGGTATTACCTCTGCAAAATGGTAGCATCTTATAGGATATTATAAGAATCAATCAGATAAAAAGAAACTGATCTTAAAAATAAGAAAAGTGAATCATAAATCGAATATAGTTTTGAAAGCCAAGTAAAAGAAAAACTTTTAGAAAATAGAACACGAGATTCAGAGTCCATAGGAGAAAAGAGGTTAAGAGAATGAAAAGATCAGAGCAAGAGGTCCAACATCCACATAACAGAAGGTCAAGAAAGAGAGAACAGGACAATAGTGAAGAGAAAATCAACCAACATTTAACATTGGAAAATATCTCAGAAACAGGTGTTTCCAGATTGAAAAGATCTACTGAGTACCCAGTACAATGAATGAAAAAAGACCTACATCAAGAGTGATCCCTGTGAAATTTCAGAGCCCCAGGCTTCGGAGATAAAAACTGGTCAGGTGCAAAGAGATGGAAATCACAGCAATATTAAACTTCTCAATAAAAACCTTTGATGCTAGAAGCCAATGGAAAAATATCTTTAAAAATCTGTAGGGAAATGACTTAAATCCAGTTATATACTCAGAGAGACTACCAATTAAGTGTGAGGGTAGAATAAAAACATTTCCAGGTGTATAAGACTTCTAAAAATTGACCTCCCATGCATCTTTTCACAGGAAGCTAATGGAGGAGATACTCCACCAAAATAAAGGAGCAAACCAAGAGAGGAAGGCAATGGGATCCAGGAAGCAGGTGCTCTAACATGGAGAGGATATAGAGGGTTTCAGAATGGCAGGAACTACTGCTTTTCATTCCAAGGCTTTAGCACCATGTCACTTTTGAACTATGCACCTATATTACTTTCATTTTAAAAATTAAGAAAAAGAAAAGGTTGAAACATTCGACAGTAAGTTCCAGTTGCCAGATAATAAGAGCAGAGATGAGGGAAGGAAAATCCAGGAGAGTAAAGCCAAGTCTGGAAGTAGTGGGCTCCAGAGCAGAATCAGCTCTGAGAGCACAGACAGACACATGAATGAATGATGGTGTGCACACGCATGCTGAGAAGCAGTTCTGAATCATCTCCTTTCTGGGCTTGTCTCACTCAGGATGGATGTTCCCTTCTGGCGATGATGGAGTGGTGGATGCTTTCAAGACCTTCCAGCTCTGATGGCTGTAGTCCAGGTGGAACCTGGAGGGAAGGAGTTCGCTAGAACTGGCTTGTGGCTCAGAAAAGACAAGACAAGGCATGGCAAGGAGTGATGGGAGTGGAGCAGAAGTCCTGGGAAAGCATTGCAAAGGCCACTCACATTTGTTAAGCTGCTATCCACCCTTTCTCCTTAACCCTACATTGCCCCTGCCCTCTCCCCTTACCAGTCTGGTCTAACCACAGTGCATGGGATGACGGTCCCTGTCCAGTCCCACTCAGGGAAACTCAGAGAAAGTCTCCACTCTGCCACTTTGAGGAAACATATGCACCAGTCTGTCCGAGTGCTTTGGGGAAGAGAGCACAAGGCAGCTGATCTTAACTGGCTCCCTACTAAGTGTGAGGCATGTCACATACATTTTCTCATCCAAGCTACACTTGCTTTATGTGCATAACTATTATCTACATTTCTCAGATGAGGAAAGTGGTTGCAATGCCCATAAGAGGTGAAAATGAGACGACTCTATCTGCTTGACTGCCAAGCCCCCTATTCTGAGAGACGGATGTAGCAAACCTAAGTCAAAGAGAGAAGTGGCTGGCAGTATGGCAATAACACTATCCTCATGAGTCACAAACTGAAGTTGCTTTCACTCCAGACTCATCTCTGCCCTTTTCCAGGTATCTGGGCTCTTCTGCCTGTTTTCTGCAGCCCTTGCCAGTGTAAGAGTCACTGGATTTTGCCATTTTATATGTTAAGATGAGATGTGTGAGCATTTAAGAGACTGCAGGGAATGTGCCCAGAGACTTCTGCAGCCTACCTTTCCATCAGAGCTGATGGGTTTGGCTGGGCTGGTCATCCATGGCCCCTGGGCTCTTTGGGGCAAGGAATGTGTTCTCTTAGAGTTTGGGGACAGAGGTGAGGAGGACAGGCAAGTGGAAGTCAGGAGGCACAAAGGCCTTGGTTTGCCCCCCTTGTTTTCCCCCTGAATAACACCACTTACTAACAGCTATCACCACTTATTAATAACTGCCATTCACTGAGTGCTTATTATGAGGTTGGTACTTCATCTCAATTCTCCTTAGCTCCATTTCACAGATGAGCACTTTAAGGTTAGAGATGCTGCGAAACATGACCACACTCATCTAGTTAGTGAGCATGGAGCTGAGATTTGCTCTTCCAGTTCTGTTGCAACCCATGTTATCTGACTTCAGCTCTCTCCCAATTCTAGACCCAACTCTTTTTGGGTTTTTAGGAACCTTTGACAAGAATGGGTTGTAATTCAAGAACACGAGAACTGAAATATTTTCAAGATTACCAAAAAGGTTATGTGAAAAAATAAATTCACACATGTTAGCATTTCCTGTAGAAGGAATTCATGATTGGGAAGGGATAATGGTAATTCCATTCATGTGTGATAATTTTTATTTTTTTGCTAATAATTATAGATATTTAGTGTGACTGAAATATCTCTCTACGTATACTGCATATCATTAGCATGAGGAAAATAAATGTTGTTTTGAGTTTTATGGGAAGACACTCAATCTGATCACACTTAAATCTCTGATTGCATGGGGTCTCATCCTAAACTAAAATGAGTGAAAGAGGACATTATTTTCCACTAGCTTTGAAACAGAGTTCATTCTGAGTTTTCTGGGGCCAATACCAATCTCAAAAAGCACCCTCAAAAATCATTCTATTACCAACATTTGTGATGTGCGCCTCTTTCAGAGACATTGTTTTTGCTGGTTCACTTCTCTCTCTCCCTTTATTCTGCTTCCTTACAGGAACATAAGCAGCTGGTGTTTCTCTAATGTCAAAGATACCCATGAAAATTAAACCAAAAAAGGATCAGACAGAAGAAGAGCTGCCTGTTTTATTTTTTTAACGGCTACCCCCAGCTTCTCTGGTAAGCCTGGTACCCACTGCTTGGGTGAAAAGGGCCTCCAGTCAAGTGGCTGGAGAAGTGTACAGCAAAAGAGGGTTTCCGACTGGGTCCCTGGAGTCCGTGGGGAATCCGAGGTGATCGCTAGGGCGGGCTGGAGGACAGTGGGCTCTGGCCATGTATGACAAGAGCAGGCTGAGCTAACTGCAGGTGAGGCGGGCTGCTGTTATATTGGGCACCTGTAAGTTTCTGTGGGAGCATAGAGGTTCTACAGCCATACAGAACTTTGAAAGCCACTGTGTGTAGAACTGAAGCCCCTCCCAGAAGTTCGGAACAGAACCGCCTCCTCAGCTCTAAGCAAGGGCCATACTCGTCACAAACACCCAGCATCAGGGTGAGAAGTGTTATGAAGTGGTCTCTTACAAGGTGATGTGGTACCTAAAGAGGCGACAGCAACACGACAATGGTTGTGACCACAGAAATGTGAGTAGGGGGCAATTCCCTCAGACTGCGTCCTTCTGAATGCCTGAAGCTGAGGCCAGCGCTTCCAACAGAGGGACTCTGGCTGTCAAACTGGGTCAGGCCTGCACCACCATGGCAGGGCTGAGGGTGAAAATCTGGTAGATCAGTGACAACTGGCATCAGATATTTGTTTTAGTTGTAAAAATCAACTCTTTCCCCTTCTTTTAGGCCAATGTTCTCAATGCCCACTTGCTGACTGTATTTTCCCCTTTAAGACATACTGGTTGCATTAAGCATCATTAGATAAGACTATTAGGTGCACTTTTCACATTGTATTACTAATGTCCTTTGTATGAAGTTATGGCTATGTCACTCTTATCATCTAAACTCTAAATTCTTGAAAAGCTGGATCCAGTTTCATCCCTCTCTGCACTTCTGCCTGGGAGAAGCTGACACAGTACTTTGCTTCCAGAGCAAGCTCTCGGTAAGTATTTTTGAATGAAGGGTTCCCTGTCCTATTACTGGAAACTGGTCTGCGGCTGGATAGGCACTCCACTGCCCATCAAAACAGACACACGTGGATTTCAAACTGCTCTTAATCCAAATGGGTTTTCATTTTGTTCAGGTTTCTTACTTTCTGTCCAGGACAACCAAACAAGGGGCTCAGCTTGCTTGGTGTGGGGGAAACTTAACCGTCTCAGACCAATTTCCCCCACCCCCTGATCACAGGGAAAAGTCACAGAGCATTGTGGCAAATGGGCTCCTATGCTGTGCTGACTATTCCATCTACCCAGGTGTCCCCCATTCTGCTCCAGGAATGTTCAACTCATCTAAAAACCCAGACAACCAGAAAGTCACCTGGTGGCTGATATGTCATCCTTCCAGGTATTTATTCCCAGCTTACTCTGGCTCTGCAAAAACACATATTGACTGATACAGGTCTGCCAGGAAGGATGATGTCAACAGTGATGATGGTCATGATGACAGCAGTAAAACCCACCGAACACAATGTGGTTGAGCCCCTCACACCCATTATCTCATTTAAACGTCACAACCACCTTAAAAGGTTGGACTATTCTGACTTCTGTTTGACACATGATCAGACCACACACGACCCCGCAAGGCAGAGTCACTTGTCCAAGGACTTGGGGCTTCTATCGCCAAGGCGGGACTTACCTAGGAAGCACAGAGTTAGGTGGCCTGGATTTTGCAGGGGACGCGACTTTAGGTTCTGGCCCAGAGCTCCCTGAAGATCCTGGCAGACAGTCCTGTGCCGGCCCAGACAGGTTTGGAAGTATTTCCCTTGAGCAAGTCAGGAGATGCTCCTTATCTTTAATTTCTTTTTCCCGGGACTTGGCTTTGTGCTCCGCCAGAAGGAGGTCAAATTGCTTTTTCCGGCCTGGGACTGCCCTCCGGTGGCTCAGCGAATGTGTCTAAGGAGAAGAGAGATGAAAAGCACAGCCTCTTTGATCAGCGCATAAACCTGCTTCCCCAGGCCCTCCATCTCAGAAACAGCAATTCATGGGCATTTAGAGGTGCCTGCAAAGTCAAGTTCAAGGCAACAGCTCCTGTTCTGCGGCTGGGAAGAGGCAGAGACCACACAAACGCAACCATGCCCTATGCTCCTGGCGTTAAGAAGCCAAAGCTTCCTCCAGAAAAAATGGCATAAGATCACAAGCTTCAGCGCAGGACCCACAAGAACCTCTCTGGTGAAGGCAATGGTGAGGGAGAGCTAGAGTTCACCCAGGCGCAGGTGGGAGGCTCGCTTTTGCTCAGACACACAGAGCCACCAGGCGGGGGCCACAGCCTCGGTCCCAAGAAGCACTTAGCAGTTCAGAACAAAATATGGGGCTGGGGGCTACCCAGTGGCTGCTGCCTTGGGTCAGCTGTGCCCCTGGCCGCCCCGGTGTGGCCGGATGCGGGTGCGGCTGCCCGTCCTCCCCTCCAGGGCTGCCTTTCAGGCCGCCGTCGCCGCCGCTCCTGCATACATTAAAACGTAGCAGGGCTTAGAACCGCCTGTGAGTGCCTATAAATACAATTTACTGTCTGGCCTCACAAGTAACAGGGGAAGCCTATTTTTTTTTTCCTTCTTAAAAAGCCAGCCAGCTTGAGCAGGCACTCTGCTACCATGGAAGAGAAGAAAGCATTTCCCTTACAAAGAACAGCTGGGGGTCATGTCGAGGTTCCACACCCTGCCGTGTGCAGAGTGTGGCATGCAAACATTTCGACAAAGGCCCCAGCCAGAGCAGGAAGTATTTTTTATGGAAAGAGAAATACCTTGCAGGTGAGGGATCTTGTGCAAGGTTTCTTTGTCTCGGGATCCAATACTCCACAGTGTTTATTTGGGTCAAATTCTCTCTCTGGTTTAAGAAACAAACAAAAAATATAAGAAAAAGGGAGACTAAATAGAATTTGGCATTAAGACTACATTAAAAAAAAAATGCACATTTGCACCAACAAGTGAGACATTGTCAGGCAATCTGTTTTTTTGTTTTTTCTCAACCGGCTGCTAAAATGCTTTAAGAACCACTCAGGGGAAAATGCTGCTTCCCTCTGAACCCCAAGTTCCAAGTCCAGCTTCGGAAGGGGGGCAGACCCAGAGGGAAAGAGGCCAGGCTACTCTCACACTTTATCCCACTTGAAACGGTTCTGTGGGCACTTGGTACTTTGAGCAGGGCTGGCTGCAGACCAGGGAGAGCCATCTGAGGCCCAAGGGCCGCTTTTGTCTGGGCAGCTTTGAGAATGCATCGTTCCCCTCCCCACCCTGCCCTCCAGCTAGTTTTAGCCAGTTAAGTGGGAGATTATTCTTTGACGAGTCAGTGTGACCCATCTCTTTCTGTCTCTGGGCTTTGCAAAGCCCTTACTACAGGCTTTCCACACAGTCTCGCTGACCAGAAAAATCGTGCACCTGGCAGGAACATTCTGGGGGTGTCGCAGGCAGGGGAAAAGTCTTCTGTGAGTCTTAACTTGAAGGTGCACAGAGGGAAGGGCCCGCTGTCTCACAGCCTGCTCTGCCCCAGCACGAGGTCTGTTGCTTCTCATGGGAACTGGCCCAGGCAGGCTGGCCCGCTGGGATGAAGGATGGTTGAAGGGAGGACAGGCTTTCCCCAGCTTCCTGCCTTCCATTGGACTGTTGATGGCTCATGTTGAGGTTAGTTCTAAGGAACCTGTTCTTTTCTGGGCCCATTTAGGAACATTTGTCCCCTCTCAATAACAAAAACACTCTCCTCCCCTGGAAAAGAAGGGGAGCTGAGACAATCTCTTAAGAACCCTTTGGGCTTTCAAGCTGCATCTCTCAGATGGCCTGTGCTGTTTCGGAAAGGCACTGAGCAAACACCGAGGCCTGCAGAGCAGGAAGACACAGCTCTTCTGGGCCTTGCAGGGACACGGGTGGCAGTGTGGGTGGGCAGTGAGGGTGGGTAGGTATGAATTTGGTGGAATGTCTCCTTAAGAGCTTCAAATGGCAGTACACTAAGAAGAGGTTATCTAGCCTGAAAGCAACCTGAAATTGGTGCAGTAAACTCTGAGCACGATAAATGAATGCGGTCTATTTTTAAAAGAAGGTTTGGGGGTCGTGGGGTGGCTGGGACAGAGCTAACAATGATGTGTGCAGTACAACCATTCCTAGATCTTAGATTTCCCAGGTGGCTATCAAAATGCCTCCCACCTCTTTTCTGCTTTTGTCATATCTTTTTCTTTTTCTTTTTTTTAAGCTTCACTTTTAAGAACAGAAAGCTAGTAGGCCTGGAGATGCCTGTTTCCAAGCCCTGTCTGCCCAACAAGCAGGGCCTGGGCACCAGGCACCAGGAGCCTGGCACGGACCTCCGTCCTGCAGGCCCGGCAGCTGGCCCCGGCCTCGATCCACACCAGCACTCGTACGCGCCTGGAACTGAGCAGGTTGTTGGCTGGAGGCACGAGCTGGCTGCCAAGTGTGAAAGCGAGATAGAAACAAGCAAAAGACCCAATGAGACAGAACCACCAACAAAATGCAAAACCAACAAACAGCAAACAACCCCCAAATGACTTCAGTTTGGGGTGCGGGCTGGAAGCCCTGGTCATGCTTTGCATCCGGACACGGTGCCTGGCCAGGCCTGCTGGTCTTCCAGGGACAGTGTCACCCACTCCTGCAGCTTGAAATTGACCTTTCCATTCAAGAAGAGAACAAGAAGAGCCAGAAAGCCACACAGGGAGACCCACATGCTCTCAGAGCACCAGGCTCTACCTTTCTTTCTCGATAGTGGGTGAACAGTACATAGAAAGGTTTTTTAGGGTAAAACGCCTGTGTTATTTGAATGCTCTGAGCCCAAGACACTTTTAAGAAATAATTTCTTTAAAAGTTACAGATGTAAGACAAAAAAACTGAAATACAGATAAACACAAAGTACAACACAGAAATGACCCACAATTCTTGGAGTGTTTAAGAATTATACTTATTCCAGGTGACATAATTTCTCTCTGAGTGGCTTTCACTATTTTCTTTTTTCTGGCCCACATTTGATAATGCCCAGGGTATGTGAATAAATTATAAACTTCAGTTTTTCTTAGCCTTTTGGAGCAAGTAGAACTGCCAGATTTAGTTCTGCAACAGATCCAAAGCCAGTATCATCCACATGGGGGCCCCAAGGGCAACCACTGCCTCAAAAACTGGCCACGTGCACCTTTGTGGGCACCCCAAGCGCCTGCTCAGAAACTGAGAAGTAGGTCTGAGAGAGACCCACACACCCTGCCTGCTGAGCCAGTCCAGGTGTCCCAAATAGGAATTGCAACTGATTATATTGGAAAGGCAGCTGTAGCCCCAGACAACAGCGTCAACCTGGAAACCGAGTAGACCAAGGAGAGTGGGGAAGACAGCACTGAAGGGAGCACAAGGCTGTACCATGAGGTACCCCCGTGGGCCGGCCACCTTCACAGCAGCGAGGCTTCCACAGAACCCAGAGGCACTGCAGCCTGTCAGCTTGACACCAGGACCTCAGAACCCTTGGGCTGCTGGAGCTGGCACACAGCACCCTGCCTCCTGGGTCTCTAGGATAACTCCCACAAAACATAAGCCCGGAGAGAGACCTCATCTGGCCCCAGAATAAGAAAACCAGTTTCTCCCTGGCATTTTTCAGTGGGGATTCCTGATTGTAGGTAAACTCTGTGTCCCTCTTAAAATGAAACAGACCTGCTTAAATATAAGAACACATCACTCCTCAGTTAGAGGTGCAGCTGAATTGCATCTAATCATGAGACAGATTCTAAGGACACAGATGCGTACCTGACAGTCTCCGATAAGGCTTGTTATTGGTTTTGGTGCCATTTTGGTGTTTCTTGTCTATTGTGGTGGACAGAATTCCTTTGCCATTCAAGATCTTCTCTGGGGAAGGTGGCACTGATTTGGACATCAAGACCGGCTTAATTAAAGGTGGGGTGGAGACAGCAGAGGATGAGATGGAGCAGGCGGTGACTGCAGTAGTGGTTGCAGAGTTCATTTTGACATTGGCACCATCTGCCTTCATTAGGTTAGGAATTTTCTCTAAACTGACTACAGGAACCGGAACGCTGAAAAATAAATGAACAAACACACAGTTGCCTTCTTTGATATATCTGGGTTGCTGAGAAGCTACACCCACTTATCATTATCAGAACACTTCCATATCACTTATATTCCTCCTATAAGCGAGCAGCATGGTTCCCGTTTTGATGGGAGGGAGATTTGTGCTGTGAAAAGGACCAACAGGGGGTGCAAGGCTGGCCCAGTGCCAGGATGGCATCAGAGCTGGCTGATTACCTCCTGTACTGGTTGTCCCCACAGATCCCACAGCTTCCCTCTTCTCAGCCTCTGTGTGTCCGCAGGCTCCAAGAGAGCACCTTGGGTGGAACAAGGTGTCCACTGTGAAGCTCAGGAAGAGATCCTGTTTATCCCCTGAAGACAATGTGCCACCATGCCACCTCCTCCCTGCCCCTGTGCTCAGCTGGTCTCCCATCCCAGTGACTGGCCTGACATCTGCTTAGCTCAGGAGTGCTGACAGGCTCACACTGCACGGAGGCATGGCTGCAGGCCAGCGGGCCATGTTACATGCTGTTGGAGGACTTCTGCATCACTCATATCCTGGGGATGGGCTCAAAATGAGTGAGCCGCCATGTAGCATTATCTAATATTCCATTTTAGGCAGCTAGTTATGTAAATAGGCAATTCTCAAGGCTGGCAGGTGAGACGATGAATTTTAAGAAGACAGAGCACAAAGGTGTATATTTGCTCTTCAGAATTTGTCACCATCCCACTTCCCTGCTGCTATTTCTCCTGTAACAGATATGCATTTGATTTCTGTGCATTTAATGCTGGAGAACCCTGTGTCTGGGGGGCTGTGGAGGACTCTGTCTTGGGGTCTTGAAAGATGAGATGAGACTTGCTTTGATACTGAACCAAATTTCCTTTCCTCCTTGCAGGAGGGCAGGATGCTAACACTTCATTCCTTCCCCCTGCCCCCGGGCTCCCTGCCCCAATCATCATCTCTGAGCTGAGAGTGGAGCAGACTGAACTATCTGAATGCTGAATGATCTAGAATGTTATACATTCCTGCAGACAATGTAGGGCATGAAAGAGAGGCTGGCTTTGCAGGGGAGAAGTCTTATCTGTCCACATGGCTGGCTGGTTCTCTCTTCTCTAAGATTCATTCACAGACCATTCTCTGATCAAGTCATTCATGAAATTATTTCAGCAACCCTCAGTCCCTGTCCCTTTTCGGACTTTGGATGGGATGACAGGTGTTATTTATAGGTCTAGAGAGAAGGGCACTCAGTGGTGGGGCCGACTGCTGCTGGACTTCACTTGCTGTACCCTAGGGCCTTCTTGGCTTGGAACGGGTGGCATGGGACTCCAAATCCCAGGCGAGGGGAAACTGAAGTGGTGGGTTTTAGTAACGCACTAAGTCAATGACAAGTCTGCCTTTGATCAGAGTCTCTCAATCACTGAACTTCCACCTTCCATTTAATGGCAATTCTTAGAGCAGTCACATACAGCTTAAGAACAGCATAAGAAACCCTGAAAAGCCAGCACATGAAGAGGCTATAAAGACACTACTGTACCTGGTGAAATTAGTGCCACATTCTTGATTTTCTCCCAAATGTTAAAAAATGCAGAACCATGGGATATGGAATTCCTCTGGGCTCATCCTTTCACTCAATTTTAAAAGACACAAATTATAGAACTCAGGGTCTTAAAGAAACAATTGTATGCTCAAGTTCATAGCAGCATTACTCACAATGGCCAAAAGGTGGAAGCAACCAAAGTGTCCATTAGTGGATGAACAGATAAACAAAATGTGGTACATACATATAATGGAGTATTATTTAGCCTTCAAAAGGAAGGAAATTCTGATATATGGATGAACATTGAGGACACCAAGCTAAGTGAAATGAGCCAGTCAGAAAAAGATGAATACTCCATGATTCCAGTTATATGAGATACCCAGAGTGGTCAGATTCATGGAGACAGAGAGCAGAAGAGTGGCTGCCAGGGTTTGGGGGGAAGGGGCTGGGAGTTCTGTAATGGGCATCAACTTGCAGTTTTGCAAGACAAAAGAGAGTCCTGGAGACTGGCTTCACTACCGTGGGAATGTACTTAACATCACTGAACTATACATTAACAGTGGTTAAGATGGTAAATTTTGTTGTATTTTACAAGTAAAAATGTATAAACACCCACCTCCCCATTACAAAACTCATGCAACTTATACTTCAATATTCTGAATTTAACAATACATATTATAATAGCCTGCTTAAAAAGCTCTTGTTGAAGACAAATGCTGGGCATAGAAGCCACAGGGCATAAATCTGCAAAGAAGTAAAAAGCTAACCTTTTCAAACAATATGGCTTCTCTCTCACTTACCAACTTTACATCTCCCTGTATGGCCCCGGAAGATGACTGGTTAGCCAGAGACGGGTAAGATTCCTCAAGGGAGGAACAACCTAAGACAGGCACAGTCGCAGGGGGGCCATCAGG